TTGTGTTTGTTCCCTTTCTGATTTACAGCAACAGACAAGTTCTTGTGATAAACTTGACTGTTTTTAGGAGTTCCCTGTCTGATTTACAGCAACAGACAAGTTCTTGTGATAAACTTGACTGTTTTTAGGAGTTCCCTGTCTGATTTACAGCAACAGACAAGTTCTTGTGATAAACTTGACTGTTTTTAGGAGTTCCCTGTCTGATTTACAGCAACAGACAAGTTCTTGTGATAAACTTGACTGTTTTTAGGAGTTCCCTTTCTGATTTACAGCAACAGACAAGTTCTTGTGATAAACTTGACTGTTTTTAGGAGTTCCCTTTCTGATTTACAGCAACAGACAAGTTCTTGTGATAAACTTGACTGTTTTTAGGAGTTCCCTTTTAGTTCCTTACAACTCTGAGTGCAGTGTTAACTTATTGGGCCAGTATTCCCTTTCTTAATTTGCTTACAAGAGACTTTCTTGCAGGACATGTTCTGTAGTCTGCGCAAACGGGTATAATGTTGAACTACTTAGATGAAGCCTGTGCATATGCTTGTTAAGTTTGTTATGTCCTGTCCTGAGGTGTAGAATAACCACTTGCCCTTTGCTGGTCAAGTAAGTGGTAGTCATCTCTGCCAGATTCTGTTCACTTCTGATAGACTGGATGGTCTTTTTCTTCTCATAGTATGTTAATGCATTCTACTCCTGTTCACATTCTGTCCCTTTCTTAGCAATTCTTTCTGCGGTTTAGTTTCCTGTCTCATAATATAAGAGTCTTTCTTAAGCAAGCTCATGTAAATCAGGTTGTACTGTATATATTTCGAAATAAAGCAGGCTGGTTTCAAAATGGTCATCCTGTCCCATAGAGAGGTTAAGCTGGAAAAAAATTAACCAAATAATAAACGAATCTACACAGGCTTTGTGTGCTTTGGTACCGGGCCTATACAATGGAAAAAGAAACGATGAAGAAAGAAAGAAAGAAAGACAGTCAGAAAGGTTTCTTTTTATTCTTTTCCTATTCTAGTCCTTTTCTGCTTTTCAGCATCAAGTTCTAAAGAGGGATCAGGTGCGAACCTTGGTATATACTAAGTAGATGTTAGTATTTACAGACTTATATATCCCATCTATCCATCACTTGCATGGTCGACCTCTATGTTTCCATTGTGCCTAAATTACAGGGCTCTCTGTGGTACACTATCTGGTGGTAGTCTTGATCCATGTCTGAATCATCTGATACTTTGTCATTTAATGTAGTTTAGTTCTGGTTCCATTCCATCTTGTATCTTGAAATGATTTCTGATTCTGTATCTTCTAGTTAACATTTATAATTTGTCACAGGCATTTCATTTCTGTTGTTTCAATTTATCTTTATTTTTCCTTTTATTGTTAATGCTCACATTTGGCACTGGTACAGAAAGACTGCCATACAGAAAGAAAAAAAAAAAGTGAAAAAGAAACAAGGAAATAAAGACAAGAAAGAATGAAAAATGAAACAGCAGTTTCAGACCCACCTGTGATGCTGTAGGAAAGTATGCCTTCATTTCCCAGGTCGTCATCAGTTGCAGTTATCTCAGCCACCAAAGTTCCAATTGGTCGCCCCTCTAGAATCTTCAAAAAACAGATGTTTTTACTTTAAACTATGTAATTATCTAAATCAGAGTTTCACAAACTTTTCTTAGTCGCTGCGCCTTTTTTCAATAAGAATTTTTCCATGGCGCCCTAACCCAAGTAAAAGTATGACAGTTCGAATGAAAAAATATATTTTTTTTTAAATTTGCATGTTTTCGAATACTGTGCGGTGCCCAGTGAAGAGGTCGCGGCACCCCAGGCCTCTGTGGCGCACAGTTTGGGAATCACTGGTCTAAATGAATAAACAAAGTGTTTAGAAAACAATTATCCTTCTATATATCTCATTGAGAAACAGAAATCTTGGTAGTCTTAAAAAAAATGATTTAAGAAGAAGATCAACATTATTTAAAATACATTCACACGGAAGTGTTGGATACTGGTAGATTATAGTTAAACCAAATGTAATTTGGATCCAACACTGTTTTTCCTTTTAATTCCAAAGCATTGACACTGGATCGGAAACCCAAGAAACAACCATAAAATTAAAATCATGCGCAAAGTAAAAAAGATTTCTTTGCATTAGGTTCAGTATTCACACGTAAAGTAAAAAAAAAAAGTGAAAATCCCTGTTCACGCCCTTAGGCGTAGCGGGCATATGGGAAGAGCCCCCTATTTTTACAGACCATCGGCACTAGGTGGGTAATTAGGTCAGCATTACGCCGGCCGTCTTTACTTCCCCAGGACAGCCATCCTGGTACCCATTTTGGGCTGGGTCGCCCTGCGTCGCTCGATCGGATATCCTGATAAATCCACTCAGTCAACAGTAGGTTTTGAATCGCGGCACGTTGGAATTACGAGTCGGACTCGCAACGCTTAAGCCACGGACGCCGCTAGATTCACACGTACAAGACTGGAAACTTCAAGAAATTGTATCAAACTTACCTAATACTCGTACCCGTCAGTTTTCGTTAGTAGTACTAGATTATATACACATCTTTCAGATTTACCTATTTGAAACATTGCTTTTTCCGGATAATTGAGTGCTCCAGATTTTATAACTTTCAAGCATCTAAAAAACAGTAACATTAAGCTCACTATAGGCCTTTATTCCGAAAGTGCGAATCAAAACAAAACTGATCAGTGTTTATTATTTCGACTACTGATAATCAGTTTTCACTTTTTTCTCTATATAAGAAAATCAGACTATCATTTGTCTGTCTTTTTATCACTCACACACAAACATCATAAAGACTCACACGAGCACACACGCACACAGAAACATATTAAATATCGTATTATTTTTTTTTTTACAGGACTCCACGTTCCTTACTGGCAGACAACTGCAACTGCGTCAGGCTTCAAGTAGCTCTTAGTGGTGCCGCCAATTATAACATCTGTAGAGGCCGAACGAAATATCTGGGATTCGTCCTGGCAGCTTACCAAGCTTGCCAAGATTATTACGGTGTGAACAGAATGGCCCTGTGGGAAGTGACCAGGCAGTCTGGCCGACACTCAAGTGAAATGCGAGACAGATTTACAATCAGTTAATGGTGCTCTGGAACTTTTCGTTTGCTGCTGAAGATGGAGACGGAGCGCTTATGAGAATGTCCCGAGTGCTATGATGTCGATTCCTAATTCAACATTCTTGTCAAGCAGGATGAGATTCACACATTCTCGGAGAGGACACAGGAGACGACGATGTCAACGAAATGACGCATATGATCCTGAAACTAAGTTTGTAAAGACTAATGATCGGCAAACGTCTTTAGTCGAAAGAAGGAAAAATCAACAACAAGAAAAGCTTATTTGCAAGAACCTGTCAAGAACCATGTTTTTCGGAGTCAAGACCGATTTGTGGCCGACTGGCCGAGCCACACTCAGGTTGTTAAAGAGCCGCTTGCGGCCCGTGAGCCGCGATTAGCCGACCACTGGTATAGACAAATCAACACTTGATAGTCATATGCTCACCATCACTTCGGTTGCCTTTAATTCCCCGGATATTTTTTGGTATCTATTGTAGGCTGGGTTGACCTGGGAGCCTTATCACCTATCAGTAGGTCTCTCCTTCTCTAACCAATTCTCCAACACTATGTGCTTTTATTACCAATGCATCTTCGGTGTTTTGGTTGTTGAGGTCGGCCTCTGCTTGCTTCTCCGCAAATGGCACCCTCCACAATCTTTCTCTCCAGGCCACAAGGACGCTAAACATGACTTAAATACTTCAGCTTTTGGGACAGGATGTTGTATATGAGCCAGTTCTCTTCTATATTCAGATCATGTAGGATGTCTGTATTATCATTCGTCCTTGTCGACTATGTTCTATGCTTGGGATTCGAGGTCATTTTTATTTGAAAAATGCTCAGTAATGTGGATTCTCTTCTTCTTCTTCTTAGCGTTCACCGCCTGTAAACGGCAGAAAGTTTCAGTTGTTCGCCAACTTCTGGACTCTGATCTTGTTCCGCAATTTAAGTTTTGCTTGAACATCCGGTTTGCAATGCTGGCTTATTTACACGCAGACTGCTGGTACGGCACCTCTCAGATAGATAGAATCCGACTTCGAAAGAAACACTGCTAATTAGTCATCTTTTGCGACATGCTAATTGGGAGCAGTCGGCCATTTTTTTTTTTTAAATATTAAAATAGGGCACAGGAACTCACACGGAATGATAGGGATTCGAACCCATGATAAACTTTTGGTCGGCAGGCAAGTTTCTAGCCCCTGTCCACCGTTATTTCCACCACAACTCATGCCAGATTAACTATAAAGACAGAAATAAAGCTCTGTAGCCCTTTCCCAAAGTTGTATCTAACTTTAAAAATCTGTAAGTCCGTAACCATTTGATATAAGCTGTCCAAATTTGGTCTGTAACCTAATAATCATGTCCTGATAAGATATTTTTTTTGTTTAAATATTAAAATAAAACCGTATAATTTTAATTTGGCCTTTTTTCGCGGCATATGGAAGGGCCGGGGAGGGGAGGGGGGGGGGGGAGAGAGGGCATATACTGATTCAAAGCAAACAATCAACTTGCTTACAGTTGACTGATAAGAACTTCTCAAAACATCAGATTGTACTCATTTCATAGGCATTTCGCTCTCATTTAGTCATCGCCAACATTACCCTGTTGTGATTTGTTAGATGAACACAGTTTTTCATTATATGAGGGATAGGTTATCAAGATAATCGCCACGAATAGCAAACAATTTCCCGCGTGTGTCAGTTACTGTAATTTCCACTTCCTAGGGGTATACAAATTAGTAGTCAAACAAAGGTCAAAGAAACTCAGCGCATTAAGAAAGTAGCAATACCTGTGCAATTGTAAATTGTAAGGATATGGGAAATCTAAAGCCACACGCCAAAATTCATGTTGATCCATACAGGCATTTTTGAGAGATTTGTTAAAGTGTGAGTTCACGACTTCTGAAACGCACTGTGGTCGTTTACTAACCTCAACCACACTAGCAGCAGGCTGAGCGCTGATGGTAGGAGGATATTCATTGTCTGGCGTTACACTGACTGTCAAGGTGGCTGTGCCAGTCAGCACTGGAGTTCCTTGATCTCGAACAGTCAGCTGAAAAAAATGTGACATATAAAGGTCATGAAAGTCAGATGTATGTCAGTTACGGGACATACAAATTGTTCAAGCGTGGACTTAGGTTCGTTTTCTTCTCCTTCTTCGTGTTCACCGGATGTAAACTTTGGCGGAAACTTTTAGTTGTTTGTCCACCTCTGAACTTTAGTCTTGTTCCAGAACGTGAGTGTTGCGTTTTACACATCATGCTTAATTATATGCAGATTGTTGGTTCCTTGCCTCTCAGGTAGATAAATTCCGACTTCAAAGGAAGCCCCCAGTTAGTCGATTCTTACGACACGCTTGTGGGGGAGGTGTTGGGTCTATTCTTGTTTGCCCCATAATGGGGTCTCGGAACCCACACGGAGAAGACGGAAATGGTTAAAGGTTTCACTGAAAAGTTGTCACTTTATGTATTATTTTTCACAGCGTTTTTTTTTTTTTTTTTTTTTTTAATATTTGAAAAAGAAAGTTTCTGTACTCACCACAAAGTGTCTATTACAGTGGCGCTGGAAAAATGCATAATAAGATGCCAGTACTGCATACCGCCTGGTAAAAAAAAAGTCCTGCTTTTATTTAACTATAATTTTCCGTTAATGTTGTATGCTGATGAAGGCTTTCTAGCCGCGACATTCTTTTTGTCATTCAAAATTGATTTTGACTGGGACGCTGATTAGTTCTACTTCTCGTTTAGTTTTATCTTTACATGAATCAGTCAAACAATACCAACGTTTATGCCATTCTCAGAACAAAAGAGGTCTACTAGCAAATCGACAGCCAACGACTGAGAGCTAGGTATGTAAGTGTTGTAATCTTATTGTCCAAAGAGTTAAAGTTTCTTCTAGTTTCTTCTAGTGGTCACAGCGCAGGTGAAAGGTTCACACAGCGGCCACGGGTCGGGTCGTTACCTGGGATACCAGCTAATTGAATGCTGGGCGATTAACACAAAGGCTCCTGCAGAACACAAAGGATTCGGCAGTCAAGATATTTTCCTTGTCCAAATAGGACGTTCCTTTTTTTGCGAGGTTTTATTTAACCGTACTTACACGGGAGACAGTTTAATGTCTATTTATTTATTATAATGGCAGGAGTCCATTGAGAAAAGTGTGTAATTCTTTTATATTATCAGAGTAGATAATAAAGAGTTATTATCGTACGTTTTATTGAATAATCATCATCATCTTGTGACGTGTAACTTTAATCACAATAAAGTTTATGTGGCCTGTCACAAGCGTTATTGTTGGCTTGTAAAGATAGCAACTGTATTACATGATGCTGTGTCGGTGCCAAGTGTGCCAGTTATAGAATGCAGGACTTCACTGTAGCACATCCATCAAGGAGATATCCAGCGGAATACTAGAATAGGCACCCTAGGCCTAAATACTTGGTTCTTGAATATCTTCAACAAAGAGTACAACAAAGTGTACAAAATTAAGTGTACAACAGTGGATGGCCCAGCCGGTCCTTTGATGGATTTATAAACAGTGTTGATTTATCCAGTGTTTGTGCTACTGACTGATGATCGTTTGAACGAATACATATAACTGTTCTACATAAAGTTATAAATTAACGGATCCTGAAAGGAGTTATAAACTATTTTTTTTAAGTGTATGCAGTGCTAACGGGTGTTTCTAGAAGCTTTACGAACTAATCGGACATGCGTGAACTAACAGTAGGCCTTAATTGATTGCCGTTTACAGCTGTATAAAGTGCTGATGACAATTGCAGTGTTATTTGACTCTATAGAATTACGCGTTTGTTCTACCGTAATTGACATTCTTCAACGGAGTTCGGCAGTGGATGCTTGAGTTTCGCATCATTACTACTAGGTTCCTGTTCGCAGTACGTCGCCTAAGGATCGCAGTACGACGCCTGAGGATCGCAGTACGACGCCTAAAGATCGCAGTACGACGCCTAAGGATCGCAGTATGATTAAGGATCGCATCGACTTGAGGATCTACGCTTACGACGCCTAAGGATCGCATCTGTGGATTTAAATCGGGTAATGTTTTTTTGTTGACGGATGGGAGTTGTGTTGTGTGCTCGTTTCGTCTCATAACATATCCGAGGTGTTAGAGTGAATGATTATCATCCATGTTCTCTGTTACTTGTAACTTTAATATATCAGCTCATTGAGTTTGGGATGACATATTAGTTCTTTTCTTCAGCTTTTCTTGTCAAATTGGCGGCTCTGATATAATAGAGGATATTGGCAAATCCCACTTGCTGAGGAGGCTAGACAATATACTGCCTTCCAGACACCTCGAGGCTTGTTTCAATTTAGATATTTGAGTTTTGGGCTAACCAATGCTTCAGCTACATTCACACGCTTGGTTAGGAAGTTAGCTCAAGGTCGTTCAGACGTTATCTACTATTTAGATGATCTCTTACTATATCATAATGATCTGGATACACACATTCAGGGTTTGAAATCTCTTCTTGGTAAAATTAAAAGTTTTGGCTTAACCATCCGACCTTCTAAGGTCCAGATAGCATTTCATGAGCTAACATTTTTGGGTCATGTTGTTGGAAATGGTCTCCTTAAACCAGAAGACAATAATGGGGGCAAAATTCTAAAAATCCCTACCCCAAAGACCAAAAAGCATGTTAGAGCTCTACTGGGTCTTTGTAACTTCTACGCTAAATTTATTCCCCATTATTCCTCTATAACATCTGTGTTGTCTGAGTTGACAAGAAAGACGATGCCTCGAGAGGTGTTTTGGGATGAATCCTGCGCACAAGCACTCAGCCAGATACAAAGAACATTTAACAATAAACCATTTCTGAGATTGCCTAATCTATCACTTGATTTTTATGTTTCCTCAGATGCTTCAAATGTCGCACTGGGAGCAGTAATTTCCCAAATGTATGATGGGACTTTACATCCTTGCCTCTATGCAAGTCGCAAGCTGTCTGACACTGAAACACGCTATAGTGTCGGAGAGAGAGAAGCACTGGGAATTTACTGGTCCATCGCAAAATTCTCCAGGTATTTGTTAGGGCGAAATTTTTTCGTTATTACAGACCACAAGTCACTTGCTGTTTTGAACACAGGGTCTGTAACAAATGCCCGTATTCTTCGTTGGACATTGTTTCTTCAGACTTTTAACTATACCATCATCTACCGGAGTGGTAAGGAGAACGTACTTGCTGACTATTTGTCCAGATTTCCTTGTACGTCATGAGACAATCAGTTCCTTTTCACATTGGAATTTTTATACCTCACTACACTGCAATGGATGCTTATATATTGTTATCAACATACTTTATCCAGATATGTATATTTCAAGGACATACCTATGAGAAGTGTTTAGTTAGTTAATTTCTCAAGTGTTTTGGACAGATGATTCCATTTATTGGGATTGACAGTAATTATGATATGTGGATTTAGCTTATGAGTTATTAGTGAACCAGTTATGCTATTATATTGTATTTCTTGTTGTTATTTACATGCATTCTTATTATAACAAAAGTTATCATCCTTTTATTTACATGCATTCTTATTATAACAAAAGTTATCATCATTTCTTTTACATGCATTCTCACTTAATTGCATGTTGATTTCACTAGGTATTTTTAAATATAAGTTGTCTAGATGACTACAACAGAGTTAAAATTATGCAACTGAAAACATAGATTTTCAGTTTGTGAGAAGGGGGGGGGGGGGATAAGCTGTTGTAATCTTATTGTCCAAAGAGTTAAAGTTTCTTCTAGTTTCTTATAGTGGTCACAGCGCAGGTGAAAGGTTCACACAGCGGCCAAGGGTCGGGTCGTTACCTGGGATACCAGCTAATTGAATGCTGGGCGATTAACACAAAGGCTCCTGCAGAACACAAAGGATTCGGCAGTCAAGATATTTTCCTTGTCCAAATAGGACGTTCCTTTTTTTGCGAGGTTTTATTTAACCGTACTTACACGGGTATAAGTTTAATGTCTATTTATTTATTATAATGGCAGGAGTCCATTGAGAAAAGTGTGTAATTCTTTTATATTCTCAGAGTAGATAATAAAGAGTTATTATCGTACGTTTTATTAAATAATCATCATCATCCTGTGACGTGTAACTTTAATCACAATAAAGTTTATGTGACCTGTCACAAGCGTTATTGTTGGCTTGTAAAGATAGCAACTGTATTACATGATGCTGTGTCGGTGCCAAGTGTGCCAGTTATAGAATGCAGGACTTCACTGTAGCACATCCATCAAGGAGATATCCAGCGGAATACTAGAATAGGCACCCTAGGCCTAAATACTTGGTTCTTGAATATCTTCAACAAAGAGTACAACAAAGTGTACAAAATTAAGTGTACAACAGTAAGGGATGTGAAAATTTGTTCACAACCAGAAAGCCACTAGTTTTTGAAAACCATAATTAAAGCCACTATCTACAAAATCATGGACAATCGGTAGACAGGACAAATAATTTCTTGAGCCCTCAGAGATGTGGTTTTACATAAGAATGCTTAGAATACCTTGGACTGCCAAAAAGAGCAACCAAGAGGTTTTGAAAGAGGTGGGAGCCCGAAGACAACTTATCATAGATATAAGAAGGAGACAGTCATCATTTTTCGACCATGTTATGAGAAGAGGGAAAATAGAACATGTTGTGACCACTGGAAAGATCTGTGGAAGGAGGTATAAAGGAAGACAACGAGAGAAGACGCTTGACAGACTTGTTGCATGGCATGGAGGTGTGTCGGCACACGAACTGATACATGCTGCAGGAGATCGCAGATTATGGAGAGGCATGATCGCCCACCCCAGTCTGCAAGGCACCTGATGATGATGATGATGATGATTGTTTGTGTCTTCTTTGTTAAAGTTTACAACTGAGAAAGAATGATTTTCATTTTATGTATTAAATCCGCCATTTATGAAACAAGAGTTTGCTAATGTTATATTTTGGGCTGCTTAGAAATTATAGCGGCGTCCGTGGCTTAGGTGTTGCAAGTCCGACTCGTAATTCCAATGTACCGCGATCGAAACCCACTCTAGGCTGCGTGGATTTTTATTATGGTATAGGGCGTCGCAGGTCGACCCAGCCTAAAATTGGTATCAGGATGGCGTTCCCGGGGAAGTAAAAACGGCAGTCGTAATGCTGACCACATTACCCACCTATTGCCGAATGGTTCTGTAAAAATATGTGTGCTCTTCCCAAGCCTGATGCGCCTAAAGGCGTGAAAAGGGATCTTTACTTATTTTATGAGAAATTTAAAAATATGCAGTGCGTGACTGGAGCGTTGTTTCAGTTAGCTGCAATAGGATAGGGCGGTCATTTTGGGAGCATGACCTGGAAATTTCAGCAGATGGGTCAAGGAAACTACACTGAAAACAACATTGGCTTACAATACAATCCTAAAGTATTTTCACCTCCAGGGAAACACTGAGCCATGTAACTCCAAGGAAACTACACTGGTGGACAACATGGGCTTACAATACAATCCTAAAGTTTTTTCACCTCCAGGGAAACACTGAGCCATGTAACTCTAAGGTTACCAGATACTTTATTTTTTTTTTTTTATTATGTGGAATAATTTAAGCATATTGACAATTTATATTTTATATCTTATTTATAGTGAAAAGTGTAGTAAACAAACAAGTCGTCACTACGTTTTTCTTTTTTACAGACTCTAGCTACCTTACGTAACAATAACCATGAGTAGAGACGATGTCGTCTGCGTGCCAACAATCAATGATTAAGTCATAAAATACCAACCCTGAGCACAGAAATTGCTGACATTCCCGAATCCAAATCAATGTCTGCGGCAAACTCTAGCCGTCCAAAAGATGCTGTGTTGAACTGCCAATAGCTGACTGCAAAATAATAACAATAAAGACAATAATAATAATAATGATAATATTCACTCTAACACCTGAAAATTATATGACGAGGCTTCAAATGAAAACATTAAAAGTATGGAGAAAAAAAGATGTATCATTCCGCTGTCTTGTAACTTATCAATACTGTTAAGTAAGTCAAGAATGATAAGCACGTGTCATCACGATGTAGAAGAACATGATAGCGTTATAATAAAAGTTTAAAGATGACTGTCGCACTTTTGTCATGCACCATACTAGATCTTCAATCGCCGATTTTGTCTATGGGTTCACCCCTTCCCTGATTGGAAAACGGATAACATAGCGTTGCTCGCAAAAGTAAAATACGACAGGGAGAGAGCTTAAACTAGTTCCAGCGATACAGTAAATGCACAAATTCATTTCTACGTTGTTAGAAGTACTAGGCATATAGTGCTAGTCCCGTTTTATAGACTATTCCACACTCAATGAAAGGGCTGACTCGTTCGGTACCAAGCATTTGACTAACCACGCTTTTATAGATAATTCTCACGATAAAGGATTTACTAAGCTCCTTTGCTTCGCACAGATGTTATTCTTCTTCATTCGTCAGCTTGAAATACATAATCTATATTTGCAATGTTGTCTCTAATATGAACCGCACTGTCTTTTGTAGTTCACTCAGCGACCCGTAGAGTTTGGCATGCACCGGTGTTTCTTTTGGCCAAAAGTTTTGCTTTGAAATGTTATATGTGAGACAGTCTTGGAAAACGTGATCTGTTGTCTCAGGTGCCAATCCACATGTGCACATGACTGATTCGCCGATTTTAAATGCTGTGTACGTGTGGCTGCGAAGTCAATTGTGGCCTGTTCTAAGGCGTAGAATAACTTGCTCTGGTCTGTCCATAATATGGTAATCATCTTTTGCCGGTTTTGATGGATTTCTGATTGATATAATTAATCTCTTCTTCTGTTGTTAAGAGACTGGTACGTCAGGTCGTTTTTCATTTGCACCTTCCTTAGCCGGTTTATCAGCTCTTTCATATCTAGGAACTCCACAATAGGATGGTATCCATTTGTCACGTAACCAGCAGAACACCCCTCTGCTAGTAGTTCCGTCTACAATCTGTACACCTCTATGCAGATTATTTGTATTCAAATATGGACTATTCGACCATAGGTAAATAGTCCTTTTTTTTAGAAAATATGGATCAGGATATATGGAAAGGAACTTTATTCATTCTTGAATCTATTGGGAGTAAATTTTATTATAATTTTTTTTACAGGTAAGTGTTTTTTACTAGTGGCGACGCCATATTCCATGGCCGAACCACCGCTTGAATTGGCGGATGGAATCTTTCCTGCTTCTGGGTCGGGGGCGATTTGAATCTTAGCGTCATCTTAGATGCAGCTCCGACCCCCAGAAAACGGTCCGAAAGAACCTCTGTCAACTGTTATATATCTACATTGAAAGCCACCCGTTTAACCCGGGAATTTCGGGAGAATATGGGATGTGTGCTGGCTTATCTGGGAGTTGTATCAGGAACACCACCCAGTTGATCCAACAGAGTGCTGCCATTACCCAACCACCGGCTTTCAACTACTAGCTGCCAACTTCCATTGTCCAGCTACATGTGTTTACCTTGTTCCAGTCAAGCGAGCAACCTCCTGGGAAGTGACTTGTGGTGTCACACATGCTAAAGGACAGCTGATGAGGATTCATCATCATCATCTATTTACGGCAGATCGCCACTGGCCAAAGCCTGAACAGTTTTTGCTGAACTCTTTTTAAGAATCGTAGCATATATAAATAGAGGGAATCCATTCCTAAACAGCATTCGGACACTAACTATTTGTATTATGAGCAGTATATTCATGTGATTATGCAGATGTTCACCTAGTGACCCCCATGCTTAGTAACCTTTCGTAACATTGTAATTGAGGCCTGAAGTCATGTTCAACGTGGACTGAGGAAAGGAGCGGATCAGCTAATGTCTACACCTGCTGATAAGTATACAATGTGAAACTGAGAGTACAGCCACCCGGACACTTAGTGCCCATATCTTACCATTATCCTATTAGATCCTCGGTGCTTTGCTGAACCCTAACAGTGACCTTTTTTAGTCCAGGACTAATTCGTGACTATTGTAGACATTATTTGCATCATTCTATCTATTGTTCTTTCTTCTATGTCAGTTCAATCAGATTTATTAAATTGTTTAGAAACTAGTACATCAGGCATTGTTATTCTAAACTTACCTCTGTTGATGTCTGGTAATTCACAGTTCACGTTAGTAAGACCTGTGTGTGTGTGGATTTTTGTTCTAATAAATTTCTGTGGATACTGAGTTTTTATTTTTACTGTGATAGTGATCCTATCCAGTCTGGAGACTATCATGTGGCGAAAAAATCTGGCCAAGTTGTGCTCAGGAATATCTTTGGAAATTCTGTGGTTTGCGCCGGAGCAAGCCCCACTTTACAGGCTACTGAGTGAACTACAAAAGAAAGTGAAGTTCAATCTTGAGTTGCTCATCGCTGAAGTTGTGTTGGATGGTTGTTGGAGTGGCGGAGTACCGCCTAGACCAATACGAACCACCTTCAGGACAATATATCACTTCAGAGATCTTATATTACTAGGGAAGATCCTAATTTAGACACCTGACAACATCGTCTTGTGACAACGTTGCATAGTTACCTTACACTTGTTGCTTAGTTTGGACAGTAGTGTTCACATACAAAATAAAATTTTCCCAGATGTTGTATCAACCCACTCTGTACCCGTACACAATGTATGTTTGTGTTTATTTACGTGAACAAATCCCAGCCTTCACCGGGGTTTGAACCTGGACCTCCAACACTCGAGGAGGATGTTATACCTCGAGACCACTCAACCCCTACTATGTATGTATGTATGTATGTATGTATGTATGTATGTATGTATGTATGTATGTATGTATGTATGTATGTATGTATGTATGTATGTATGTATGTATGTATGTATGTATGTATGTATGTATGTATGTATGTATGTATGTATGTATGTATGTATGTATGTATGTATGTATGTATGTATGTATGTATGTATGTATGTATGTATGTATGTATGTATGTATGTATGTATGTATGTATGTATGTATGTATGTATGTATGTATGTATGTATGTATGTATGTATGTATGTATGTATGTATGTATGTATGTATGTATGTATGTATGTATGTATGTATGTATGTATGTATGTATGTATGTATGTATGTATGTATGTATGTATGTATGTATGTATGTATGGTATGTATGTATGTATGTATGTATGTATGTATGTATGTATGTATGTATGTATGTATGTATGTATGTATGTATGTATGTATGTATGTATGTATGTATGTATGTATGTATGTATGTATGTATGTATGTATGTATGTATGTATGTATGTATGTATGTATGTATGTATGTATGTATGTATGTATGTATGTATGTATGTATGTATGTATGTATGTATGTATGTATGTATGTATGTATGTATGTATGTATGTATGTATGTATGTATGTATGTATGTATGTATGTATGTATGTATGTATGTATGTATGTATGTATGTATGTATGTATGTATGTATGTATGTATGTATGTATGTATGTATGTATGTATGTATGTATGTATGTATGTATGTATGTTATGTATGTATGTATGTATGTATGTATGTATGTATGTATGTATGTATGTATGTATGTATGTATGTATGTATGTATGTATGTATGTATGTATGTATGTATGTATGTATGTATGTATGTATGTATGTATGTATGTATGTATGTATGTATGTATGTATGTATGTATGTATGTATGTATGTATGTATGTATGTATGTATGTATGTATGTATGTATGTATGTATGTATGTATGTATGTATGTATGTATGTATGTATGTATGTATGTATGTATGTATGTATGTATGTATGTATGTATGTATGTATGTATGTATGTATGTATGTATGTATGTATGTATGTATGTATGTATGTATGTATGTATGTATGTATGTATGTATGTATGTATGTATGTATGTATGTATGTATGTATGTATGTATGTATGTATGTATGTATGTATGTATGTATGTATGTATGTATGTATGTATGTATGTATGTATGTAGTATGTATGTATGTATGTATGTATGTATGTATGTATGTATGTATGTATGTATGTATGTATGTATGTATGTATGTTATGTATGTATGTATGTATGTATGTATGTATGTATGTATGTATGTATGTATGTATGTATGTATGTATGTATGTATGTATGTATGTATGTATGTATGTATGTATGTATGTATGTATGTATGTATGTATGTATGTATGTATGTATGTATGTATGTATGTATGTATGTATGTATGTATGTATGTATGTATGTATGTATGTATGTATGTATGTATGTATGTATGTATGTATGTATGTATGTATGTATGTATGTATGTATGTATGTATGTATGTATGTATGTATGTATGTATGTATGTATGTATGTATGTATGTATGTATGTATGTATGTATGTATGTATGTATGTATGTATGTATGTATGTATGTATGTATGTATGTATGTATGTATGTATGTATGTATGTATGTATGTATGTATGTATGTATGTATGTATGTATGTATGTATGTATGTATGTATGTATGTATGTATGTATGTATGTATGTATGTATGTATGTATGTATGTATGTATGTATGTATGTATGTATGTATGTATGTATGTATGTATGTATGTATGTATGTATGTATGTATGTATGTATGTATGTATGTATGTATGTATGTATGTATGTATGTATGTATGTATGTATGTATGTATGTATGTATGTATGTATGTATGTATGTATGTATGTATGTATGTATGTATGTATGTATGTATGTATGTATGTATGTATGTATGTATGTATGTATGTATGTATGTATGTATGTATGTATGTATGTATGTATGTATGTATGTATGTATGTATGTATGTATGTATGTATGTATGTA